CAGCCCACTTATTTTTCTGCCCACGCAGCTGTGCAAATTCTATTTTTCACACAGGGCGACAAATAGTTGGACCATCGCATAAAACAACTAATAATGGGCTGGCCCATTTTCTTTGTTGCTATGTTTTATTTCTATTTTTATTCTCCTTCCCCTATCTCTTTTTGACTCCCAAGTTTATTTTCTTATAGAATTTATTTCATAAATTCAAAATTCTCAAAACACATTCAGAACTAAAAAAATTATATAAAATGTTCAGAATTCAAAAATTTGTTGCTATTTTGAAAAATATTCGCAACCTGAACTTTTTTCCATTTTTTCGAAAACTTTTATTTTTTTCAAATTTTTTGGAGATTTCTAAAAAGAAAATGGAAATTTAAAAAATGATCCAAATTCGTTTTTTTTGTTTTAGTGAAATTTTCACAATTAAAAATAATGTTAAAAGATACATATTTTTGAAAAATGTTATGAATTTTCAACACATGTTCTCGTTCTAAAAAAATGTTCAAAATTCAAATAATGTTCATGTTTTTATAAAGAAAGTTGACGTTTTCAAAAAGTGCTTGTCAATTTTAAAAGATGTTCTTGTTTCAAAATTTATTCACGTTTTTCTAAAACTGTACATAATTTTTAAAGAATTGTTCAGGATTGAAAAAAAGGTTCATGTTTCCTACTATATTCATAAACTTCATACCTTAAAATCTCTTTGATTGAAAGGAAAAGTAGGTTGAATCATTCATGGGCCTTCTCTGGCGTACGGTGACGTAACAAAACTTTTCAATGCCCTCGATCAATGGATGGATAAGTAGCGGATCGATTACTTCACACCCCGACGAAACCGAGAAGCTAAATGTTCATTTTTCACGTGCACACAGGGTATTGCTTGCACATATAATTCTCACTAATTTTAAATGCATACTAATTTTTCTCCCGTTACAACACACGGGCATATGTGCTAGTAATAGAGAGAGAAAGATGAGCAAAAGCAAAATGGATATTGCATGAGCATAATTGCAACAGTGAAAATCACTAAGTTTTGCATACCAACATACTGAAAACAAATGGCAGAATAATGAGCTAAAATGACCGAATAATGATAATGAACCACAAGTTGCTCACTTCCATTGAACACCCCGTATTATTCTCTGAAATTTATTCTTCACAAAGATCTCACCAAGTGGAGTACCAAACTAGCACTGACCACTGAGTTGAAGAAGTTACATGACATGGGTAACAGGGACTCTGCAAGAACGCGCTGGTCACAACGTGGTTCTCTCGGGCGGTACCTACGGGGTGGGTGGGCACGAGGACCAGCGGCGTCTTGCGGTGGAAGGTCAGCTGGCCGGCCTCCTCCATGCTCACCTTCTCTGCCACCGTACCCTCTGGCAGCTCCCACTCGAAGCCGTACAGCATGTTGGCCAACGTGAACTCCACGTTCGCCACCCCCATGGCCAGTCCGGGGCAGATCCGCCGGCCGGCGCCGAATGGCATCAGCTCTAGGTGAGCACCGCGGAAGTCCACCTCGCCGTGCCTCCCGCCGGATAAGAACCTCTCGGGCTCGAACTCTTCCGCGTCCCGCCCCCAGCTCACGGGGTCCCTCCCGATGGCCCACGCGTTCACTAGCACCCGCGTCCCCACCGGCACGTCGTAGCCACCGATCTGCACCCGTCGCAGTGTCTGCCGCGGAACAAGCAGCGTCACTGGCGGGTGCAGCCGCAGGGTCTCTTTGACCACCATTTTCAGGTATGTCAGCATCGGCAGGTCGTCTGGCCGCACCCGCTGCTCGCTGTTGCCGCTGCCGGCGACCACGACCCATATCTCCTCCTGTGCTTTCTTCAGCACCCGCGGCTTCCGGATCAGCTCCGACATCGCCCACAGGATCATCGTGTAGCTCGTGTCGACGCCGCCGAGGAACGCGTCCAGGAGGACAGCCTTGACGTGGTCCCTCGTGAAGCCGTGCTCGTCGCAGATTCGGACGAGGGCGTCCACCAAGTCGCCGCCGCCGCTCACCGGCTTGGGGCGCGCGGGATCCAAGTGCTGCTCCAGCACTGCCTCGAAGAAGGCATCACGATCTTTAAAGATCCTCTCTCGTCGCGCGACGATGCCGGCGAGCCGGTCGATGAGCCGGCCTGCGGCGGTGGGGAAGAAGTCTTCGGCAGAGAAGCTGGCCGCCATATCCATGGCCTCCTCTAGGACATGCTAGAGCCGCTCGTACTTGCCCTCAAACACCGCGCCGCACACGCCCCCGTACGCCACCGTGCCGATGATGGCGTCGGCGACACAGAACACATGCTCGTCCAACGACACCGGCCCCGCCGCGCCGCCCAGGGTGGCCATGAGCCTGTTCACTTGCGCCCGCCGCGCAGCTTAGGCGGCTCTGACGCCGCGCGCGCCTGGGAGCTCTGTGGCGAAAAGGTTGCGCATGTCGCGCCAGTAGGCACCGTAGGGGTGAGAAGGCGATGCTCTTGCGTCCGTAGGAGAGCCGCTCGGGGCCCGGCGACGCGGGCCGGCTGCAGCAGTCAGCGTCGTCGGACCGTACCACATCGCGCGCTGCCGCCGCGGACGAGGCCACCGCCGCCGTCGGTGCGGCAGAGCGCCCAGATGGTGCTGGTTGCCGAGCACTGGCACCCGTTTTGGGCCCGGCGGCAGCTTGGGCCGCCTTTCCCCGGGGCAGCGCTTGGTTGGCAGCAGGAAGGAGACGACGGGGAGGAGGAGGCAGGCTAGGAGGAGGAACTGCCATAGTGACATCGTCCCGAGGGAGGTTTACGCTCTCACCGACGAGGTGTTGCTGCTCGATCGCGGATGGTGGGGGGTTTATAAAGTGGGTGGCTCCGTTGCTGGCACTCTGGAGGTTTTCTTTTTTATGGTATATAATACGTGTCTCATTTAGTATTAGGATAAGTACATTTAAAATACATATATGTGGTAAACCATCCAAACTATTCCAAAAGTACATTTTAATAGTTTAAATCGTTTACCAGATGTGGAATATATCCAGACATATTTTAGTGTTAGATAGATAGCTTCGTATCTAAGTAAATCTAAGACAATCTACAAATAGAAGATTTTTTATTCTATTTTGATTACGTTTAGACAATTATTATTATTAGTACTCCCTCCACTCCTAAATATAAGTCTTTTTTACATATTTTAAATGGACTATAACATACGGATGTATATAGACATATTTTATAGTGTATATTCACTCATTTTACTCCGTATGTAGTCATTTATTGGAATATCTTGAAAAACTTATAGTTTGGAACAAAAGGAGTATATCACAAGGATCATAGATAAGTCATGCACAAACACCGAAAAGACAATGGAACGCTAGCTTTTGCACAAAGAAATGACAACCAAGAAGTAAAATTATAATCAAGACTGAATAATCCTCTGAATTTAGACACCAACGCCCGTCACCTGCCTCTGACACCACCACAGCAGCCATCAAAGAAAGAAAATAAAGGATCACCTTCACACCCGAGCTCGATGCGGCTCCATCGCTGATATGCAACTTTGCGGACCTCCAATGTGGCTCGCCAAAGACGAAACCATTACCGTTGAACGAATCAGACCGAGGCAACACCCCAGACACGCAATCGAACTCGAGATCTGGCACCCCCACGTGATTAAGACACTGGAGGAGAAAACCACACCTGCCATCCACGAACCACAAACCCCGCACACGATCCACCATCTTCCAAATGCCGCCGATGCAAATGACAATTTGCATCCGATCCTGGACTACCTCCCAAGCTTCGTACCGGCGCAGGAGCAAACGTTGTGGGACTGCACCATCTTCCAACAGTCAGCGTCGTGGGGCCGCACCACGTCGCAAGCTGCCGCCGCGGACGAGACCACCACCGCCGTCGCCGCTGAGGTGGAGCAGCACGACGGGGCCAAGTCGCACAGGCTGCGGTGTGGCAGAGGGCCCAGCTGGTGCAGGTTGCCGAGCACCTGCACCTGCTTCGGGCCCGGCGGCAGCTTGAGCCGCCTTTCCTCGGGGCTGCGGTTGGTTGCCAGAAGGAAGGAGGAGGAGGAGCTGCCGGAGGCGGGGCCAGGAAACTTGAGATATCCATCGTTTACAGAATGTGACCGATTACTTGCTCGCCCGTACCTTGGTAGAACAGCTAACCATTTATGCAATCGAGGCAGCTGCGAGAGAGCATGTGGCCGGCATGGATTTCTTCTGTCTGGTGGATTGCTTGCGGATGAGCTAAGTTGCCATTTTCGTTTAGGCCTCGTTTTGTATAGGAGAAATAATAATGCTCTCGACTTGGTTTCTTCCCTCACTCCTCCATGCTCTACACCCTCCCACCTTGACTTTACGTATGGTTTTGGGTCGAGGTAGTTGTCATCTCTCGCATGAATGCATGGACCGGGACTTCAAAAATGAGGGATTTTTATATGGCGCATGCATGCGCCCTTGTCATACGTCCAGTTGGACATGACTGTTAACCGTTCCTAAATACTTGTCTTTCTAGAGATTTTAATAAGTAACTACATACGGAGCAAAATGAATGAATCTACACTCTAAAATATGTCTACATACATCCATATGTTGAGTCCATTTAAAATGCCTAGAAAAACAAATATTTGGGAACAGAGGAAGTAGTTCATAGTGATGCTCACTGGATGATCCGCATCACAAAGCCGGTGAACAGGTGGGACGAACGCGGTGCACACGACAACCCAGCTGCCGTCGGACACGGCAACACCGGGAAGACCTCCGGGCGGCATATCCAGCAGTCAATATTTCAATTATTCCGAGACTACAGTAGTATAGAAGTCGACAGTGAATTGGCTGGAGAGTTTATGATAAGCTAGAGTGCAATAGGTAAATTTGTGCGGTCAGGATATACACATTTCCATATCCGAATTCCTCAAATATACACGCTCAACAAATTACAACGTTATAAGAGTTGTTACCATAACCTTCCACCCAAAACGCCTACCATCCAAGTCTTATCTAGCAACTAGTTACACTCTACACCAATGATGAATCACATGAGATCAAAACCAGCATTCGCAGATATAGCCACTGACAACCTGTCTCGCATCTGTTCTTTTCTGTAAGATAAGAACCAACCAAATGTTATACCCTGTCCAACTGAAACATAAACAAAATGATAGCACATGCTCGTGTACTTATGTTATTTACTTACATCTGATATGGAGGAAGCATCAACTCATTAAAGCATGTATGTGCTCTAGGCAGACGGCCTGTATCGTCTGTGCCAGGAATAACATAACTGCAAGAGAAGAGCTGTGAGCATAATTCTCAGCCAAACACAAAAGAGGGTAACATTATAAGACAAGCCCACCTCGTTATTCTGAAATTCGGGTCAAGAGTTTCAAAACCTTCAATAGGACCATTGATTTTAAGTGGTTATTGAGTCAATCTATTATCACAATGTCTAACATAAATAAACAAATAAGGAACAAAAATAATTCCGTGAAGAAAAAAAATTAACATACAAGAGAAACTGCTTTTGTTCATTCTGGCTGAACCTCCTTAAGACATTCCAAAACATAACAATAACCTCATGATCCTGTAAAAAACCAACATCAACAAGATACAAGAACATGAAGAAACAGGTCAGGGTAATGTCTAATTTACTCGGAAAATAGTAACAGAAAGTTAAAAGATTTTTTCTTCCTCTCAATGTTGATTCCTACATCAATTTTTCATAGTAGCCAGCTTTAAGTAAGTGGTTCTTTGGATTACGAGAATTAAACCTGGGTTACATCGACGCAAGGCCAGGACGGTGGCAGAAGGGCTGGCAGGTAACTCTTGGGCACATGATATACAAGGGGTCCTGGGTCTGCACGAGATCGGCCAATACATGCTGCTGTGGCAGGCTGTGTGCCACACCATCCTGACGAACGAGCCGGATCGCCTGCTCTGGAGGTGGACCACCAATGGCATCTACTCGGCGCGCTCGTGTTATGCGGCCAGTTTTCAGGGATCCACACGGTGCCATTCTTGGAAGCTGGTATGGAAGAGCTGTGACGCCCGGATAATCAAGCTACAGTAACCTCTGCTAATGACACCACGTCACCTCCGTTACTGTCACTAATCTCGCGTTAGTTCGAAAACGACTCAAATTCAAATTTGAGATTTAGGCGAACAACAAAAGTTTTCAAACATTAAAACTAAAATGTCCAAAATGTGTCAAATAAATCATGGGTAATACTGGTGGAGAAACCACAAATTTTATAAAATGTTTAAAGGCTCTAAACTAATTAAAATAGCAACTATGACAATTAATTAAATGCCTTTTTAAAAATAATAATAATGCAAACTGTTTTAATTAGGTGTCAAACTTTTGGAGCAGTAGAATAAATTATAACATTAAATTTGGAGTTGTATTTATATTTTATAAAACAGAAATTAAAAGAAAATAGATAAAGAAAAGAAAACAGAAAACAAAGCTGAAAAAAAAAGAGAGAAGGCAACCCCCCCCACTGGGCTTCGGCCCAGCAGGCCACAACCCCCCACTGGGCCAACCCACCAGGCCCAGCCGGCCACTCCCCACTACTCCTTATCTCCTCACCCACCAAAACCCTAGCCGCC